TGTATGAATCCTCAGTATGCTTAAGCATCAGTGTCAAAATCACTCTACATGTATCTACTTTCATTTCCTCTCCATTTTTAATGTGTGGGAAGTGTTCTCCTGCAAAAAAACCTAGCTTTTCCCAGAATTTGGATTGTATATTTTACAGTTCATAGTTTTTTTTTCAGTTCTCCAGCACATGGTCCCGTGTGCTTTGAAACATTTCCTGCACATGCAAGATAATGCTAACTGCCAATTTGGAGGAAACAAAAACAAAATGGTTCTCGGGAGATCAGAGAGTTAGGCGGGCTAAATTGTTAAAGATTCAGGGATTTCTTGTCAGCCTGTGATTGCTTAATCACCAACCCGTATTACATCAGATTATTCAATCAGCTGGTGTTAGTTGCAACTTTAGTAGACAGTGGCAAATGTTGCCAGACCCGCTAAGCCCTCTGTATGAGAACCCTGAATCTGGATTATCCTGGAGTGAGTAGCACAAGCCTCGGCCAGTTAATACCTTTGTGTGAGAAAGTAACTCGGGATCAGTCCAAGCCCTCAGCAAGAGTGATTGGCAGCTGGAGGAACATCAATGCTACCTCTGTGTTACTCCGAATCTCTTGTCAATAACACGACTTGACACGGGAGACAGAGCGAGGGGGGGAGGACTGAAGATGGAGAGACACCAGAGAGACAGAGGGCATGTGGAGGTAGAGGCGGCTTATCTGGTTTAAAGCACCGTATTGATTGACATAAGACCAAGAGAGGGTAAAAGACGGTGGAGTACTAGAGTATCTCCAAGGTCTGTGAGGGTTTGTGTGCACACTTAAATATGTGTGTTTAATTAGGTAAAGAGGCAGTGGGATAAGTGGACATAGGAATAGAGTTGAAATAAGCCTCTGACATGTCAAGGTGGCCTGGATGTGAAGCTCAAAGTGATTACAAATGAAATCATTAACTCTCCTCTCACCGCAGGAAGAAAGTCATTAAGACACACATGCTTGACTTCGCTTATTCTAAGTGTGTGAGAGAAGAGAAAGAGGGAAAGGCAGAATGTGATAGAGGGAGAGGGTGGCGAGACAGATTTGTCCTAATCTACTGTCACATTAAAGAAAGAAACTGCTGGTAATTATGAGAGTATGCAGTCAATGTGGTTGGTCTCTGTTAAGCAGCTGAGCAAACGCCTGAAGTATTTTCACGATATTAAAAGGATATTCTCCAATATTTACATATGACACAATATTGCCAATCAGGTGCAAAGAAAACACTCATGTGCAAAACAATTCATTTTTGTTCCACTCTAATGCATTACATCAGACCAAACTCAGTAGCGCATTTTGCTCGTTTTTGAACACAGCTTTCTTTAACGATTCTAGATTATAGTGTCACAATAAACTTGTGACAGGACAATAGTGAATTATAGCCCAGTTCTACTCTGTTGACTATTGGAATCAGTTTGATGGACACAGAGGATGTCATATCTATCCTCACAACTAACAGACATCCCTTATGTTAAGGTTTAGTTATGACTTTAAATGTCTACATTGAGGAGCGATTAAGTGTCCTTGTGACTACTACACTGAAAGGTAGTGCAAACACACCAATATACGCAATAAGGCTTCCTCTCCCACATGGCTCCTCCCCTGGAGAGCAGATGCTGGGGGAGCGAAGGTGGAGGTTAGGCTTCATGGGATGATAGAAGATTGCTGGAGAGATTAAAAGGAAGGAGGGGTGAGGGAAGGGATGAGCTTGTAGCTCACCGTATAGACACAAGCAGATGAAGAATGAGAAAGGTCATCCCCATGCACAAAAGCTCATGCACACACACGTGCACAAGGGGGCTTTGTGTCATACTAATGACAATCATTAATCACCTGAGCTGAAGGGCAGAGGAGAACTGGACAGCATGATACCATTTACCAAGATCTGACCTCCACGTGTGGCGATCCCAGAGTGCTTAAAAATATGCCCCAACCACGTAAAGATAGTAAACAGAAATGAGGATAAATCATTTAATAAAAATAAAAATATTTCTGCTGAAAGTCATTTTGGTAAACCAGACTTTAGGCATTTTTACAGTCTGGCTGACAGTACACAGCAGGAATGAATTCTAATGGGGATTAAAAGCAAAGCTGCACCAGTCACAGCAGCTCCCCATCTGTCTGTCTGTCTGTCTGTCTGTCTGTCTGACTGTCTGTCTGACTGCCACTGTGTACCCTGTATAGTGTGTGTGTGTGTGTGTGTGTGTGTGTGTGTGTGTGTGTGTGTGTGTGATTGTGTGAGGGTCTGTGATCCCCGTGCGTCTGTGTGCTGGCACTTTGAAGTTGGTTTCTCTGTGCACATGTGTGTGCAATGCATGTGCTTTTCTGCTGACTCCTGGAAGTATGTTTTTGTGTGTTGGCTTGCACAAATGCGTGTGCTTCATAAATGCAGCTCTCCTGGTACTTTGAGGCTGGCCCAGAGCTGAGTTTGCAGATAGTTTGAGTGACAGAAGGTCAGGAAACAGGGGAATGATGTGTCATCCAGCTTGGAAGTATCGCTGCTAAACAAACTCTAGACGTACGGCTGCTTCATGTCAGAAGCATTTATCTCAGCAAGCAACGTAATCTAAGAAACAATTGACGTCACACAGAAAGACGTAGGCTATACAACACCATTCATTAAGTTGCCATTTGCTGTGCACTCTGAGGTTTATAGCTATGAGGAGCTTACTGAGGAGGATTTCTCTATCATGTTTAAAACATTTACATCAGCCGTTTCTGCCTTTTACAAAATGGACTTGTTTTGCTTTATTCTTATTTATTTATAAAGAATATATAACACACACTTTGAACCTGGTCCCCCACCATTTGTGTCACATTACAGTAGGAAATACTTACTTGGTTTGGTTTGTTTATTCCAGTGTTTTAACATATAATTTAGACATTCAGTAACACAATAAAACGGCCACATATCATCAAAATACAATCCTAAACTTGAAAAATGAAATGATGATTTGCCTATATCACACCAGGGAGGAAGAGCAGTCACAGGTTGTCAGCTTAATACAGCAAAAGCCCAAAAAGCGCCAATATTTAATATGAAAGGCCTTTTAATTCGATTCGTAGAGATATTTTTGAACCCCTTAGAGGCAAACATTTATGCCCAGAGCTCATTGTACTTTGAGTGCATTAAACTGACACATCACCATGACTCTGGTTTAGAAATAATGTACACTGATATTGTTCTGGGCATGAACCCAACTGAGGGAAACGTCAAAGGGCAGTTGTGATTGTAGGAGAAAGGAACTTGAACTGATGTGTCAGGGGGTAAAGCTTTTCAAACCAAAACAAAGTTGAATATAACTCATAGATAAACACATTTTTTCCAAATCAAAGGCTCAATGAAAGTAGACCTTTTAGCTCGGAGTCTATGAAAATGCTAGAAGAAAGCAGCAAATAACAGCAGCGGTGAAGCAGGCCGCCTGGTGTTTATTCATGAGTGGGGAAGCGGAATAGAGATATAGTATCCAACAAGGCCACTGCTTAGATAATGCCACACAGATGGGTCAGGATGAGCTTAGCATATTAAAATGTTATGTAACTCCAAGTGCTGTGAATGTCTTCAGGCCCTGCGCATGTGGGTGTTGGAGTTTTTGCTCCTGTATAACTCGGCTTGGTTTTTCCATATGTTGTCGTCAGGGAAACTGTTAGAAGACGGGGTGTGTTTGTATTTATTTAAATATGCTGGATTGTGTGTGTGTGTGTGTGTGTGTGTGGGGGGGGGGGATGCTTGTGTGTGTTATGATGTCTTTAAAAAACGCTTCGTTAGGGGAATATGCTCCAGGCGAGGTGTCCCCTGTGGAGGCCACGACCTCACTCCTTTTCACGTCTCCTCCCTATCAGGGGTGGTGGCATGCAGAGATAAGACACCTACAAAGTAAACACTGCCGCACACTCCAGCTTCCCATCTCCCCGCAGCACAAACGCACACGTATACACACACAGACAGACAAACACACACACGCATGCACCTGGTTTGAACCCATTGTGTATGTGGAGATGCAGAGCAAATGTTGGCTCTGAATGGATGGATGGTTCGGGGACAGTGTTGTTGTTGCTGCCACACACTTGGCAGAACACGGGCCTCATTTATAAACATTGTTTACACACAAGACGGATGGAAACATGTTTATGCCACTGGCCACAGAATAGCTGGGATTCGTGAAAACAAACTCGATGTGTGAGTGTATGCACCTTGACGGAAACTCAACCACTGGTGAATCACCAGTTTTAACTGCAATCTAATGCAATCAAATAAAGTTTCTTAACCTTAAAATGTTCAATTTCTGCACTGTAGACACTTTTTTTTTTTTTTGAGGCTGTCGATATTAGTGGAGTTGTATCCTATTGCATTAGATGTGTGTAATATCCTGTCCCCCTCATGAATGTAAATGATCGGGACAAAACATTAGTATAAGGTTTGGATTTGCAGTTTACGTTCCTGTTTCCATTTACTCTTTTGGTTCTTGTCTCAGTCTGACTTCAACTTTCTTCATATTTTTTTTTTTTTCCCCAAAGCTGACAGTCTGCCTTCCTGCTTGTCTGTCTGTCTGCCTGCCTAGCTCTGTCTGAACCCTATATCTCTGAATCCTCACTCGGAGCAGTATACAGTATACTGCACCATGAAGCGCTGTCAATTCTCTGACATCCCCTAGAGGTACACTCACACATACTTCAGCTTTAGGTTCACTGACAGTACGAGGCAAGTGTTGGTATGCAGCACAAGGCGTTAGGAATAAGAGGGAAATTGTGTTAAAAAAACAATCGTTTTCTGGGAATATTCCAGACAGCTTTATAGCCCTGAAAGGCTGACACATCTTCGTTAATAACTCTATATTGAACAGCACACACTACATGTACAGTGGGTCAGAATGAAAATGGAAAGAGGAATAAATATGGCGCAGAAATAACATTGCCCAGTGTGTGGTTGCCGAAAGTGTAAACATGAGTTTTAAACCATAAACTGTGTATATTTGTTTTTAGGTTACTTCCTGGAGATGCTGAACCGCTCTGCGAATAGTCTACAGGAGACTTTCACTGCAAATTGGGGCTTAGTATACTCCCAGAATTCCCAGGTCTTCTCTGACCTGTACACGGATTTGAGGCAGTACTACCGAGGCTCCCATGTCAACCTGGAGGAGGTGCTGAACGAATTCTGGGCCAGGCTGCTGGAGAAGCTCTTCTTCCAGGCAAACAAGCAGTATTACATAGGTACAACCAGCTTTTCTGTAGAACACCAACTAACAACCAAGCGCTGCTTCATAACACAGGTTTATTGCCTGAGACCAGTACAAATATAAGGTATATCAGATAAAGAGCAGAACGTTTGTCATGGCTCTGACTGTCAATGATAATATCCTATTTCTTGACCTCGTAAAGATTTTTGAGATGACTTTATATTCCATTTAAGCACAATCTTTAGATGTCTTCTCTACTTCGATGACGATGTTAATGGATGTGTATGCTGCTTGCAGGTGAGGACTACCTGGAGTGTGTGTCCAAGCAGATAGAGACACTACGGCCCTTCGGAGAAACACCCCGTGTGATGAAGACGATGGTCACGCGCACATTTGTGGCAGCACGCTCCTTTGTTCAGGGACTGGCGGTCAGTGGGGACGTGGTGCGCAAAGTGTCCCAGGTAAAACCCAAGGCTTACTCTCCCATTTTCTCCCCTTTTCATTTTGAATGGTATCCCCTCCGTCCAGTGACCGCAGTTAGTTTTCCTTCTCTTAACCCATAAGAACCCAAGCCCACTTTTCCTTTAAGGAAAATTATAGGGGATATAAAACAGACTAAATGGACCACATGGAACACATTTCTGAAAATATTTTTTAAATGCTACCCCCTAGTGCTAAAGATCTGAAATGTTACATATATGTCACACTGGGCATTTACGTATAGATGTTTTCCTCATTTAAAATCAATCAACTTGGATTTTTTTTGCTTGGTAACAAAGATATGCCTTTTTTTTTTTTTTTAACTATATTGATCCCTTTAAGGGGGAAATTTGTCTCCGCATTTGACCCATCCCTGTATATAGGGAGCATTTGTCTTATTTTATTATTATTGTGACATTTCTGTCACAACAATATTTTCTTGACTTTTACAGTTTGATACATTTGTTTGTGAAATATGGTTAGAACGGTTTAGATGTAATGTAGGACATGTTATGAAAGCATCAGAATTGTTAAATGTGTTGAAACTTACCTTAAGCAACAAAAATAAGCTTTTTGAAATTAGCTACTTCTGCCAAATTTGCTGACCAGCCAGGCAGCCATATTGGAAGTGATGTCATTGGTACACAAATTAACTCACTGTCACATGACTTCACCAGGATGTTCCATATGTGTCACTTAGGGACTGGACTTCAAGGGTTAAAATCATGGATACAATTGTATAAGAAACTTTACAGGATATTTAAAATGTCTGCAACACCGTGGGTCCTTATGGGTTAAAATTATAGACCAAATTCTTTTTTTTTTGATAAAAGTGTCTAATTGCCTCGCAAACCTTTTTCCTGGTGTCTAATCTGCCGGAAAGTTAATGTTCTCTGCTCCCACCACATGTTCATTGGTATTCAACATTGGTGTTGAGGGGTCTGTATTCATCTCTTGTTGGTGAACACCATTGCCCCTTCTTTATGTGAACACCCAAACACACGCACACACACATACACACAGGCAGGTTTTTACCAGTCCGTGCAGATAGTATAAAGCAGTGGCAGATCAATGTTGGTGGAAACGAGAGGCTCCATAAAGTATGGCCCCCGGCTCAGACAATCAGCCCCTACACCAACAGTTAATGTCAGCTCCATGCTGAAAAATGTCTCCCTGGGCCGTGGGGAGGGTTAAATACCTCCCAAGAGAAACGGTCCCCTCTGTGTATAAGACAAGACTAAGGTTAAGATCAGAGCAAGACTGAGAAATAACGTCAGCTCCTGAAAGGGAGGTGGCCAATACTGATGCACCGCTGAAAAATATCTCCCGTCAGACACTTGGCAAGCAGGATGCTGAGAGCAGTGGCCCCATGAGAAATATACTCATTCTTTAAGAAAACAATGCTGCTTCAGACATGAATATTACAGTATTATCTGAAGACAATATCACAAGGTCAGACTGTGTGTGAGCATGAAGAGACAAAGATCAGGAGAATATAAATGAATAAATAATGACATCGGTTGTGGTGCTACTACATGACAACAAAGCCACACGCATGTCGAAGAAAGACTGTATATGATCCTTCTCCCTTTCACGCTTATATGTGTTCAGACTAGCACTGTGGGTGGCACAGACTGTACTGTTTGCTTGCATCAGAGTGAGACAGCCTGGCCTATGGCATATCTCTCTCTCTCGCTCTCTCTTTCTGTCTATCTCTGGCCCAGAAAATAGGTACAAGGTCTCACACCTACACAAAGGGACCAGAGGATGTCTCAATTAAGTGGCTGCTGGCAGCAGCAGCCCATCCGCAGCCACAGGGGAGTAAAATCAGGAATAACCATGAGCACAACTAGTCTGGCGTAGCAGGAAGCTGGTGAATAATTAGACTCAGAGAGTGACAGTGACAACTAAAACTGCCTGACCCGGAGCTAAGGGATGCCGCTAGTCTAACGGAGCTACACACAGTTACTAACTTTGACTCGAGCCAGCAGACAGGGAAGTAAGGATCGCAATTAGCATGGGCAGCATGCTGTGTTGGAATTGCTGCTCATGATTTGTGTACCCTTGGACCAGCCAGAATAACTTATGATCTCTGCAACTGATAAGCAGCTCTCTTGGACAAACACTCATGCTCACACTGAAGTAGATGTGCACGCAAGGGCATAATGTTACGGAAACACACACACACACACACACACACACATACCTCATCGTGCCCTCATTTCCCTCCAACGGTGATGAACATTTCCCCTGTGTGGCTACTTCTCGATACACATTTCCTGACTGATGCCATTTTGTTGGTGCTGAAGGACAGTGAGCGATGTGTTCAATTTAACAAGGCTGGCTCGGGGATACGTGTTCATAATTAGCACAGCTTTTACAAAATTACAAAATGTCATCCCTGCGCTAATACCAGGGCACCGGAGCGCTGCCACTCAGAATAAGGTCATGGGCTGGGCACACTCATCGAAAGCCTTAAGAGGGAAGGCAAGAGCACACTGTATCAAGAGAGTAGTCGCTATGGACACACTTGGAAAATCTCTGTTAATGGGAATTTCCAAGTAAGGACCATTGAACTGTGCAATGAGACAGAATGGCTAATTGTTCTTTGACTCAAGTCAAGGCCTGTTGGTGCAATTTGACTGAAACAAGTTCAGACTCCAACCAACTGCTCAGTTTCAAATTCATAATTTGTGTGTCAGTCTGTGTTGCTTGTCTTCCCCCAGCACATAATCAGCACTGCGCTGTACTTATTCAGATTGGAACAGCACTGTGCTGTGATGGGAACAAATGAGACAGTGAGAAGTAGTGAGAGAGGAAAAAAAGACTGTGACAAACTCCAGCGTCCTCTCTTGTCCCTATTCTTCTGCTCGTACCTAGTAAATTGTGCAGAAACATTTCTGTTGATATTTGCCAGAGTTGTGCCCTGCACTGTCCTCTGTCTCCTTTCACTGTGAATAGCTTGGTACACTAATTTGGAGCTTAGCTTTCCCCTCCTTTCCGCTGTAATTCTACCTTAGATTGATTGGGCCCTAACGAGACAACCGCTCCTATTTTTAGCTATGTATCTATCGCCACTTAAAGGGACCAGCGACTGAGGATGTTTACCACACGCTGCTCAGGGAGTGTGAAGCTGGATTGAATAAAATTACTTTTGCTATTAATTGCTTCCCTTGTCTCCCGAGGAAGCGTCTGTGGTTTGGTACAAACTCAGAGGAAAGATAACATGATTCCCTGCCATGTTTTATTTGTTTTAGCGATGGAAAAAATGGAAGTGTAGTGATAGGTGATGAAAGGGCATCCTGAAAGGGGGCTGAGAATAAGACCAAGATGCGCGGAACAACGGAATAATTTGATGGATGACTGTAAGATGCAGTCTTTCTTTCTGGTTCGGTATTAATTCTTCCCTTGCTTCGCTCCGAGCAGCACCAGTTGCTGTGTCCTTAACTTTTTCCGGACTTTTTTTATTCCCTTAGGTAGGGGAGTGGAGGAAGTAGGCCACGTGCTACATTGGCTCACTCTGGAGGCAAGGAGTCTGGATTGTCTTGCTTTGTAACACAAGGGGGAGAGGTCCTAGTAATTATAAAGGAAAGACAAGCAGAGAGAGGGAGGGAGAGAGAGAGACAGAAGAGCCTGGCGCATGATAGCCACGAGCAATATAGAAGATACTCACAGGTGCGGCGAGCATGTTGTGAAAGCGAGGGTAGGGGCAAGAAAGGGTGTGGGTGTTTAAAATGTAACGCAGTCGTGGCAATGAGCTGAACTTGCAACCATCAAAGAGAATATTTCAAACATAAAACTTTCTTTTGATATCGCTAGATGAGAGGATTTAAATCACGCCAGAGAGTGTGTGTGTGTGTGTGTGTGTGTGTGTACTGTGTATATATGTGTGTGCATGTACCTCTATACGTGTTGAAGCAGTTATTTGATCAATTGCTCAGTTGATCGTCTAAAAATGTATCTGTAACAGTCTCGATTAACCAATTTATCAATTTATCAAGCAACATATCTACACTGCGTGTTTTGGCAATTTTGCTTGATAGATTCATCCAGTTCCTTAAAAATTTGGATTTGCTCCTTTTTTCCTATTTTATAACTCATGTCAATTGGTTTAATAATTTCAGGACGGCCCCTTGTGCTGTGGCTAATTGAAATGGGCATTTTGATAATTTGTCTTTCTCAGTTTATCGATTTAGAGATAATGAAAATAATCCTTAGTTGCAGCCTTGGGCATGTGAGTCTTATTGCTGTTTCTAATTTGATGGTCCCTCCTTCGCAGTGCCGGGTGCACCGCAGCTCCTAGAATACAGAGGATGTTGTCAACAGCAACCTCCAATTAGCACCATGGAAGTGTTACATTCTGTTTCGTGTCTGTTGTGCCCGACCCGGGACTCCCGGCATTAATACTGTATGGATGATGTAACAGAAACAAGATTAATGACAGTCTGTCTTTAATAAGTATTTCATTAACACCATCCTAGGTTTTTTTTATTTACTCCCCTGCCAACGCCCTCGGTGAATCTCGTAGCTTTTTTTTAAACATCCCCCCATCTCTCTGGTTTTCAGTCTTTTGCTTCACTCATCCCTGCACACTCCCTACCCCTCACTCGTCTCCCTCACCAAAGAAGCATTCATCTGACTCAACTCTGGCTAATGAGTGGTGGGGTAAGGATGGGAGGAGGGGAGAAAAGGAGGGCAGGAGTGAGGATCTGACTCATGTCTCGTATGACTTGAGATTAAGCCTGGGAATGTGGTTATTGCTTTTCTGTGTCACTTATTTCACTTTATACTGTCCTCCTTGTGCAACTGGCAATAATTACCTACTTCTATTGATCTCTTTTATACATCAGATATCCATTTACTAATTTTGGCTCATTATATATTTTTTCTAATGTGGTTTTAGATTTAATTTGATTTTGAAACAGAGTCAAAATAAATTGCTTTTGCCTTATGTGGCTCAAATAGGATTACATTCAATTGTAATGATCCTTGTGGGGGGATTGGGTTTATACAGCCATAAATAGTCATTCAATACAGCCAAGAAAAATAGACTAAAAACATAACACAATGAAAGGTGTTTGAAACTTTAAAATATTACATTTTCAACACAAGAACTGATGAAATAATGTATTTAAAGCGTGAGAAAGTGCGGATCACAAAGTGGTCTGAGAGTGAACTACTTCACTGAACTACTGACAGGTCTGCAGGGTGTTCAAAGTATCTATCATTTGTTCTCCCACCTGATCCCCATTGTTGTCCGAATCCCACTGTGTATTTGTTAAAAGCTGGTTGTAACTGTAACTTTCCTGTTGGAAGAACTGTTTCCAGGAAAAGCATCAAGATGGCCCAGATGTCAGCTTAGAGGAGCTTTGTATGCGTAGCTGGGCTCGATCCACCTCTTTCTCTCTCTCTCTCTCGTTCTCTCGTTCTCTCTCTCACGCAGACACACACACTTCCTGAGGTTTTGTATGCATAGCTGTACTCTCTTGTGAACAGAGCTTACTGGTATTAACCCAGTTTTACTTTTCACGCACCAGGGCCCTTTCCTGGGAGAACAGCCTTGTGGGATACAGAGTGAAATGGAAGAAGCGGGAAGGATGGTGTCAGGCACTGAGAATACTTGCATGAATGTCAGGGCCTTTTCATCGCATGTGAAACAGAAAGAATACTGGTGGTTTCCAAGGAAACTGTGCTGAATGAAAGTCTGGCGCAAACTGAGAAAAAGGTCAAAAAAGGGAGGTGACCTCCCACAGTTCTGCGACTGTTATTGTCTGGCTATAGAAATATTATGTATACAAGACTTGTGTGCATCATATATTTAATTATCCTGTACAGTAGCAGCAGGGCTCTTAACTGTGAAAGTGGTCAAATGTACAGTTTGATCAACTGCTGCTGTCGTTTTTTTTTAACTTTTAGACTATTAGATCATGTATGCTTAATAAAAGGTACATTTTTCATCCAGGTGCTGTATGTGTATTTTTATCTGTGCCCTACCCCAGGTTCAGCTGAGCCAGGAGTGCATGCGGGCCATGATGAGGATGACTTACTGTCCCCACTGCCGTGGCATGGCCTCTGCCAGACCTTGTGCCAACTACTGCAGCAACGTCATGAAAGGCTGTCTGGCCAACCAGGCCGACCTCAACACCGAGTGGAGGCATCTGGCAGGTGGGGGCCGCGCACACACATTGACACATGCATCCAATTCAGCCATATGTTTGCACTCAGGTTCGCCCGACACATGATGTTACTTTGTGCAATGAATACAGCGGAATCGTTCTGCCAGTGTACAGCATGTTAAACATTTCACACTTTCTGTACGCTAACTGTACTTTCCCGTCTTTGTAGAAACACTGATGCAGGTGGCTGGAAGCTTTCATGGCACATTTGGTGTCGATAGCATGTTCCTGTCCCTCCCCGGTCGCATATCAGAAGGCATGGCTACCATGATGGAGAATATAGAGACCATCAACAGCAAGGTCAGAGCACACATTGGAACACACATACAGCTGTTTACTGTTTATTCAATGAAGAGTTGGAACATACAGTGTTACAGCTACAGTTGAGAACGTCTTATCAGCCAATGAATGGCAACTTCATGGCATGTACTGACACTTCTCATCTCTAGTTAGATGTAAATATTGGTAGATCTTCCTTGCTTGAGGGAAGTAAATCAAAGTCAAATTTGCAAACATATCCATAAAATGGTTGGCACTATATTTTAAAAGACCCTGAAGGCTTCTTGCCTATTTCTAGGAGCCAGGTGGTCCTACAAAAACACACACACACACACACACACAATTTCAGCCAAAGTTAGAGCAGTTGTATTTTTTGCACAAGAGAGATTTCTGTATTTTGTGTTTGTGTCTGTGCTTTACTCAGTGGTTTGAAGTAAGTCGGACTCTTTGGGTGGAAAAAAATGTGATGTGACGCACTTCCACGCACCAATCAGAATCTAGCAATATTGGAATCAAAACGAGATGACAGTTGTGTCATTGTTTACTTATGAAGCCACACGGCTGTCAATCAAATCTGTTCAAAGCACACCCAAATCAGCTGACTGTTGCTTATCTAGTCATGACTATTTAATGTTAAAGAGAAAGCCTTTTCGCTTGGCTAAGCAATAGAAGTAGTAGTGAGGAAGTAACAAATCTTTGATACCATCGATCCATCCGTTCAGAGACTGGGTCCACTCTCACTATGCTACCCTATATCCGCTGCATTCATTTGATTGTGTAATTAACACCTATCATACCACTACATTCATTTGTTGTTGCAATGCTTCATATACTAGGTTGAGAACAAAAGGATGTGAGTCATGACCGATCCTGCAGGCCAAGCGTTTACGTCACTGTTTAATGGCGTTCGAGCAACAGTTTTTATATGGCACTGGCAGCAATAAAAGTCTGACTGGGTTGTTTGGTGAAGGTGAGAAACATTGTAGATGGTGAGAAGAAAGACAAAGCTTCCTCTGTGCTGGTTTGCTGTGAAAGAGCCTGTCAGGCTTGAGGTGAGCCATAGCCTGGCGGACTGCCTCTGACCTGGTTCAATATGGTAATCACACACAGCTTCAGCCTCTGATCTTCATCTCTCGGGGAAAGTGCTGTGTTGATCCCGTGGAAGTCAATTCATGTCTACAGTCTGGTATTATGGTAGACACTGTGTAGGACAGATTATCTCCTATTTACATAATCTGATGACATCAAAAGCCATATGTTGTGTTACTGTATGTACTTTCCCCATAAAACGTACCAAATACAGAAACTGCACTGTGCATGAGTAAATGTGTTTGAGGCCCGTTTGCTACCTACTCCGTTTTAACAGAGTCAATGCCGTGTTTTGATGTCCATTATTCAATCTGCTGTGAACACAACACCAAGGAGTTATGCTGACGAACATGACGGGAATCTTAAGACAGGATTAATTTTTAGTTATGTGTGAAGGTTCAAAGGCTCGAGGCTCCTATAAACAGGCCAGATTGGATGACAGATTGACTGGAGTCTTTCTGTATTCCCTGGGCTCCATTTATAAATTGTAAGCCCCATAGGGACAAGTAGTGCTTCCTGAGCTGTGAATCATTCTGCTGCAGCGATGCTGTGATTGACTCTTGGGGTCATGCAAATAACCAGTACACTGGTGGCTGTTGGCTTTCAAAGGTATAGAGACTTGTATTCTCAAAGGCACTCGTGTATATATAACAAACACATTGTTGTGCTGATGCACGAGAATGGGTTCATAGATTTCTATTCAGAGTGCTGGTTTCAGCATCATTACATTTTAGTCTTGTTAACACCAACACCAATAAGAACTGCACACGGAAGGAAAATAAACTTTATAGAGCGAGTCTGAACTCTGAAGCCTTTCATTTCAAGTTACTCTGTGAAGATGAATCCGATGATAAAGCACAGAGATCTGATTTAGGACTTGCAGTGTTTTGAAAGCTGAGTAAAGTATAAACATTTTTTGTCAAAACTGAACTTCATTTCCTCATACGACCCTTTTGTTAACTCGCGTACCCTCTCTCCACATTTTGTTCATCAATCGTCTTTCCTTCGCTTCCTCTTGCCCCAGTTGTTCCAGGCGTGTGGCAACATCAGAGAGGGAGGAGCCAGCAGCACGGGAGTCGATGACATGAAGAGAGGGAAGGTTACGGCGGAGGACAGGCTGGAAACCAGCTCGAACACAATGTTCAAACTGGTGAGTATTTACCTGTCTGAGTCTGCGTCCTCGTTGTTGCTCTCTGATGGCTTCGTCCGGCCCATTCATAGTGACGGTTTATGATGCAAGAGCCATCGTTCATCATGGCCAATTAAACCTTTTTTTCTGTTCATTTCACCTTTACACAGACAACTATGGGGTGATTAGATGAGAATGAATGCTTGGATGGATGGATGAGTCATATGACGGAGCACTGCAGTTCTTTTATTGAGGAACCATCATGCTGTGATTTTGAACAAAGTGTAAAAGGTCACAAATTTGCTCTGCCCAAGGTGTCTGATGTAACCGCGAGACTGAGGGACATGCAGCCGTACTGGGTTTCTCTCCCAAGCATTCTCTGCAGTGACAGAGTTGCCACTGGAACAGGGGCCGAGGATAAGTGTTGGAACGGCATGAATCGTGCTAGGTAAGGCACAACAACCCATGAAGAAATGTATTTCAATATAAGATATAAAAGTAAAAGAATTGACAAGATATCTTTCAAAATGGTGACGTTTAATGCACAGTATAATGGGTACTGTGAGGTGCTGTTGAACTGTTGAATGAGTAGTACTTTTTTCTTGTGTTAGCGGCTAGAATTTTACAGTATAGGTGCAAAGGTGCAGCTGTCATTCTGGTCCCCTTAAAATGATGTGTCTAAAGCAACTCCACTGAATCATGGGAAATGAAGGAAAATCAATGTGCCTTTATCCTGCCCATGCCACTTCTAGGCCACAGTGTCCACTGTTCACCGAAGGTTTCACTGTGTCCAATTAACTGTGGTGGGAAGCTGCTAAAATTCCAGACGTTGTGTAATGAAATGTTAATGTGTGCCAGGTACCTTCCTGAGGTGATGGGTGACGGCCTTGCCAGCCAGATCAACAACCCTGAAGTGGAAATCGACATCACCAAACCAGACATGACAATACGCCAACAGATAATGCAGCTGAAGATCATGACTCACCGCCTGAGGAATGCTCTCAACGGCCAGGATGTGGACTTTCAGGACACCAGTGAGTCCTTTTACCATCACAGCTCAGAGGTTTCTCAAGATCATTCACAGGAAACTTCATCCCGGATGACTCTCTGTTAATTAGAAGCTTTTTTTAACAAGGTGCAGATTGTAGGAAGTAACTCTATTTCTGTTTATGTGAGGAGACAGCACACTTCTATCTTAGCTGGTAGAAACTCCAGCAAAAGGGCAAAAGCAGTATGTTTGGAATAAGATGTCAGTATAAAAATGCATGGCCTAAATCAATGTGCCTTTTTGAATTATTGAAGTGATATTTCATACCACATAATGCAAGTAACACAAGGTGATGCTGGCATTCAAATTCACATCCTTTTTCTCGAGCCAGCACCAGGACAGTGAACCTCATATTTCTTGCTGGTAGTTTAATATTGATGAGTGTGTTGCAGATGTCTTAATATGTTAATTCTATGAATACACAAGCAACCCCATTTGTGACTTGCATGTATGTCGAACCGTTAAATTCATGTCCTAACCTCTGTCTATAGGCGATGATGTCAGCGGTTCAGGAAGCGGCATGTGCGCCGACAATACGTGTTCCCGTGACCCGCGCCTTGTTGTCCCCATCACCGACCGACCCACATTCTATCCCAACCCTCCAGAAAACAAGAAGGTAAAAAGCTCCAGCTGCGGCCAGAACCTCCCCGGCATCACCATATTCCTGCTTCCATTGCTCATTTTGCTGCTCCGGCGATAATTGACGGAGGAATCTACCAACTGGGACTGAGTTTGGGACATGGAGGTCGGGGAAGAGTCTGAAAGGGGAGGGAGGAGATGTTGGGAGTTATTTACTTTGCCAAAACTAAATAAGTAAAAGGCAACAACAACAAAAAAATCACTTTGATGGACTTCGTGTTGGTTTTGGATTAGAACTAAATGGATTTACGAGTATTCATAAGTGTTTTCTTTTCTTTTATTTCTTGCTATATTATGACACCATTAGAGCTGGTCTTTTCGCATCTTCTAATGTTTTGTTTCTGGTGTTTGGGTTTTCTGAGATTATATCTGTACCTAAAACATGTGTAAGACTATATTGCTAACAGTATGTTGGTGTTGACACCATGGGGAGATGGAGAATGGGCTTTGCAGCGGCACTAAGATTTGTAATTCCACTCCTTTAAAACAGCACTTATGTTCAGCAGAATCATTTATTTATCAATAACTCACAACAGACCCCAGAGTGGTTTAATCACTCCCCAATCTACACAAACCACAAACTAAAATGAAATACAATATTGATGACTTTTAAAGGGGGATGATCTGGACAGCACGACCCAGCAGACCTCTTAATGCATTAAGCTTCACAATACGATTACACCTACACACACACACACACACACACACTCTCTCTCTCACAGCGAGGATGCGAGCGTCAGCACTTTTTGCCATTTCATCGTGTAAGCTGTAATAAAAGCCGTGATCACATTCACACCGGCATGATCGTCTAATGTGGGATTAACGTGACACCGTCCGCCACTCCATCCACTCGTCCCTACACCCCCCCCCCCCCCCCCCCCCCCCCCCCCCCCCCCCCC